GCCCCCTCTGTGCAGCTCTCACCCACGGAAAGCGGAGGAAACGATAATAGCTACTGCGCCTTGAGCATTGGCCAAGTGCCTGACAGGCTCCCCCTGATGTAATGGGTCCAACAGCCTCGGAAAGGAGTCACCACGATTCCCATCTGACACGCGAGGACCCGAGGCTTGAGAGATTGAACTGGTTCACTGTCCTTCGAGGCCTGCGTGTCGGTCCCTGTGCAGTATTTCTCTGGCACGTCTTTCCGTAAAAGCACCCTGTGGCCTGAGACAGTCTAAGCAAATGTGCTTTAAAATGTGTCTTGATTCTTGTTTCCCAGGAGGTGCCCCAAACAAGAAGGAAGAGGAACCCAAAGCAGTGCCAGGAGCCAAGAGACCCAGAAAGACTCCCGGGAAGGATCGGCCCGAGGAGCTGGTTCAACACCACCCGGACTGGGCCCTCGGCAAGCCGCCCCCGCCCGCGCCCACGAAAGCCTGGGACCCGGGCTCAGGTGCGCCGCCGCCACCCCCGGGGCCCAGCCGGGGCTCGCAGGCCCGCCAGCGGCGCCACGTGTGTGCAGACTGCGGTCGCCGCTTCACCTACCCATCGCTGCTGGTCAGCCACCAGCGCATGCACTCGGACGAGCGGCCCTTCCCCTGCCCCGAGTGTGGCATGTGCTTCAAGAGGAAGTTTGCGGTCAACGCGCACCAGTGGATCCACCGCTCCTGCTCGGGGGGCCGGCGAGGCCGGAGGCCTGGCATCCGCGCTGTGCCTCAGGCCCCGGTCCGGGATGACCGGGACCCGCCGGTGCTGTTCCGGCACTACCCGAACATCTTTCAGGAGTGCGGGTGAGTGGCTCCCGCGCGAGGCTGAGCCTGACCTCGGCGATAAGGACTGACCGGGCCCAGAGGGAGATTCCTAAATCAGGGACTTGGGAACCCAAGTTCATCCCCTGGGCTTCCCTCCAGGATCCCTCAGGTTTTCAAACACGTAGAAAGGAAAGTGCCTGTAAAGATTCACCTAGATTAAACTTGACGCCCCTCTCCCGTTTTTCTAAAAAATGAGTGAGACACGGACTTTTCTCAGTGTTGTTTCAGTAGCAGGTGCAACCAAGATCTTTGCTGTCTCAAAAACCACCCCTTGCTGCTTATCTGCATGAGAGGTAAGCGCTGAGGACTGGGGCCTGGGGAGGGGCCAGGTGGAGGTGGTCAGCCTGGCCAGCTGACTCCAGCAGGGAGCCCAGCACAGAGCCCGTCTCTGCCCAGCACAGAGCCAGTCTCCGCACAGCACCGTGGGCAAGTCGGCCCTCCCCAGCCTCGCGCCCTCATCTGTGAAATGAGGATTACTAATGTCTACCTCAAGGGAAAGGGTTACTGTGAGGACGAAATTTAAACAATATAGTATGTATGACAGTAAATGTGCAATAAATGTGTTGAAAGCGAATTCTCGACATTTTACACTTCAGAAAGGCTAAGGAGGCAGGGCATGGATATCAATAGCCATGTTTTGCAGATGAGTGGACGGAGGCTCAGAGATTAAGTGATTTTTTCCCGCCCAACATTCCACTGCTTTAAGACAGCAAAGCTGGAAACTGAACAGAGCCCAGATATTTCAACCACTTTCTCTGAGCAGTCAGAACACAGGTCCCGCCCAGGTGAGAGTGAGGTGAGAGCTGAGATCTGGGCAGGAAGCCAGTGGGACAGCAAACAACAGCAACTACAGGAAAGGTTTTCTGGTCGTGGCCAGCTAGCTCAGTTGGTTAGAGCATCGTCTGAATATGCCAAGGTTGTGGGTTCTGTCCCCGCCCAGGCCACATACCGGAATCAGCCAGTAATACATGGATAGGTGGAACAATGGGTTGTTGTTTCTATGTATCGCTCATCCTTTCTCTCTCTCAATCAATAAATGAATTTTTTTTAAAAGGTATTTTGGTCCTTACTTCCCAGCCAGAGAGTGGCCTCCCCTTGGAGGGGTGGCTCCTCAGGATGCAGGGCCCAACCCCGCCTGTCTGGGAGAATCTCAGCAGGCAAATGGAAAGCCCTGCCAGAGCCAATGACTTCACTCAGAAAGGTACAGCCCACATTCAGTGACCTGCTGGAGAGACAGCGAGGTGATACGGGAACCCCCGGGCTGAGGGAGGCTGGCTCCGTGCTGTCACTCACAAGCAACACCTGAGGCCTCTGGGCTTTGTGCTGGGCGCCAGGGACAGGCTGGCTCAGAAAAGAGTGACCCGATCGCGGCTGTGATGAAGGATGTGCCAGAGGCACCACCTAACCCGTCCTGCTGGCGAGACACCAGGAACTGCATCTTAGAGGAGAGGGTTGTGCTTCCCACAGCATTAGGTGGTGATTGCTGTGTGGGGAGATTTTCAGGCAAAGGGAGCCTTGTTTCATGAAAAGGCTAGAAATGGACACAGTGTGGAATAAAGGGAAGAGCCTGGTCTCTGGAGCCGGACTGTCTGGGCTCTGATTCCCAACTCACTTGCTTTTTAGCTGTGCAGCCTCAGGCAAGTTACCTCTTACCCCAAGTCACCTCTCTGTGCCTTAGTTTCTTCATCTATAAAACCTACCTCCTCAAATTGCTGTAGGATTAAGATAATGTAGAAGATTACCTTGCATATTAGTATTTAATAAACACCAGTTTTTATTATTATTCTAATCTATACAAAATAGTTTGTGAAGAGCAAGAAGAGACCTGGGCAAGTTTTCTGAAACAAGGAAGGTTTCCTGGAGGAAGTGGTTTAAATCAGCCTTGAAGGATGAGAAAGGTTTCAGCCGGGATAGGCATGTATAAGGAACAGTAGTATGACTGAACCATAAACAACTAGGGAATGGTTCTGGCTGGTGTGGCTCAGTTGGAGCATCGTGTCGTACTCACACACTGAAGGTGGAAGGTTTGATTCCCAGTCAGGGCACATACCCAGGTTGCAGGTTCCATCCCTAGTCGGTGAATCCAGGAGGCAACCAATAGATCTCTCTCTCTCTCCCCCTCTAAAATCTAATTTTTTAAAATGTTCATCTGAGGATATTTTGTTCCCCATTGATTTTTTTAGAGACAATGGAGGGGAGAGAGACACACACATCAATTGGCTGCCTCCTGTTCACACACTGATCGGGACCAGGGATCAAGCCTGTAACCAAGGTACGTGCCCTTGATTGGGAATTGAACCCAAGACCCTTGGGACTGTAGGCCAATGCTCTAACCACTGAGCAACCAACCAGGGCTCTAAAACCAATTAAAAAGAAAAGAACTAGATAATGAGTAATGGAAGATGCAGCAGTAAGGTGGATGCCATGCTGGAAGAGCCAACAGATCCCAGCAGAGGAGCTTAAGGATTACCCTGAGGAGCCAGAGGAAGTTCTTAGCAGAAGCAGGGTTGTTTGATAGGTACTCTCAGAAGATGCCTTTGGCCCTGTCGGGTGTGGCTCAGTTGGTTGGGCATCATCCCGTGCACCAAAGATGTTGCTGGTTCAATTCCTGGTCGGGGAACATGCCCAAATTATGGGCTTGATCCCTGGTAGGGGGTGTGCAGCAGGCAGCTGATTGATGTTCTGCTTGCACATTGATGTTTCTCTTTCTCTCTCCCTCTCCCTCTCTAAAAATCAATTAAAAAATGTTTTTACAGATGTCTTTGTAAATAGTGTAAAGTGTGACCTGTAGGAGGAGACTGGTTACTAGAGACCGTTGGACACCTGCTCCCAGAGCTGATCAGGAGCTGGGACCAAGCTAAAGAGCGAGATGTTTTCTTGCTTCCTGACCTTGGAATTGGGAAGAAAGATATTCATGAGAGGTTTCTGCCATAGTATCTGCATGGCTCAGTGACTGCTAATATGAGCTGTGAACAAGTAAGTCCCAGAGGTTTCAAGCACAGATAGCTGGAGCAAGGGAGCCTGACTGCTGGGCAAGGGGCAGTCAGGAGTGGGAGGGTGTGACGGCCAGGGACGACCAGTACTGGGGAGGGGTGGGTCAAAGAGAAGGTGAAGCTAGAGAGGAGGTGCCACCAGGGAGTGGGGAGCAGAACCAGGCACGGTGTGTCAAGCACAACACTGCCACCAAGGTCAGCATGAAGCACAGGATGAGTGCTGTCTGCTCTTCCTCATTTATCTCTTTAACAGAAACCTAGTAAGCATTTACCATGTACTAGGAACTACTCCGTGTGTCAGGATATAGCAGGGAAAACTGACACAGGAATCCTTTTAGAACTTACCTCTGAGTGGCGGGGAAGGGGGGAGAGTAGTGATAAGCCAGTATATAAATAAGACATGGTACTGCATTGCAAATAATAAGCACTACAAAGGAACTATAAAAAAAAAAAGATCTTTATTGGATTTTTGAGAGAGGGAGGGAGGGATAGAGAGAGAGAAACACCTGTGTGAGAGCGATCACATTAATCATCCACCTCCTGTACGGCCCCCATCTCCTGCATACCCCCCATTTGTGATCAGGGAATTGAACAGCAACCTTTCAGTGCTAAGGATGACGCCCAACCAACTGAGCCACACCCGGGGAAGGGTACAGGTCACAGCTCTTGTTTGCCATCATGCAAAGTTTGGATTTAATTCTAAATATACTGGGAGGTCAGTGGGTTGTTTTTATTTGCAGTAAAATATGCACAACAGAATTTACCATTGAAAAAATTTAAATATGTTTTTATTGATTTTAGAGAGAGGGGAAGAGAGAGAGAAACATTGATGTGAGAGAGACACATCAATTGGATGCCTCCCACAGTGTCCAATCAGGGCTGAGGAATCTGTCCTGCAACTTAGGTAAGTGCCTTTGACCAGAAATAGAACCCGAAACCCTTTGGTGCACAGGCCAATGCTCTAACTACTTAGCAACACTGGCCAGGGCCTGAATGACAAAAACATAAGCCTCATATTTACTTTTCAATACTACTGACATCATAGCCCATCATTTAAATTTTTTCTCTTTACATTTACACTGAGTGGCCAGATTATTATGACCACCTGACATTTGTAGGCAAATTAGCCGTACACTGCATCGTATGGGATATGGAAGCCAAAGGCCTGTTCGAACACCTTTGCTGTCTGCAGTTACCAAGATAAAACGTCTCCAATTCGCACAGGAACACAAAGATTGGACAGTCGAGCATTGGAAAAAAGTCATGTGGTCCGATGAATCATGTTTCCAGTGGCATCATGCAGATGGCAGAGTGAGAATTTGGCGGAAAGAGCATGAAAGCATGCACCCCACATGCATGAGAACAACCCTTCAATCGCGACTGAGCTGGAGGCACCCTGTAGCCCTCTCGTGTTCCCTCCCTGGCTAACCAACCTCCCACGTCCCTCCCCAGCCTCAATCGTGCACTGGTGGGGTCCCTCGGCCTGGCCTGCGCCCTCTTGCATTTAACCCAATGGCAGAATGATCAGTCACTATGAT